CATATCTATTATTTCGTAGGGCTCATTATGAGTACTGCAGCAATTCTTATCCTAAAGGATAGTCAACAGAGTAGCTATTATATTCAAATATTAAGGCAGCCTAGAAAATAAAGTTCCAGAAGTCTTTCGTCTATATCATTCTGATACTTTTTGGAATTAGCCCTTAAATACTAGGGCCCAAAATTCTTGAGCTGAAAAGTTTTGATTCCTATCCACCAGCCACCTTAGGGCCTTGGCTTCTTTCTTGGACTGTTCGAAGCTGGGTATCCACATCTCTCGCAAAGACCTCCAACGTGGAGCCAGAGATGAGAAGGCAAACACGGTAGGCTCCGGGCAACTCAGGTGAGTAACTTCTGCCTTCCATCTTTTGGGTGGTAAGCCCTGCATTGAAAGAAGGAGAAAAAATAATTAAAAACATGATAAATAAGAAAGCATAAGTCCTATGGTCCTGGCTTGCATTAACAGAAGTCAGCACATACTTTCCCTAAAGCAAATATCTTCACTCCATTGTCCCAATAGTTGTATTGTTGAATACTTGAAGGAGACAGAAAATAGCTAACATTTATTGAGAATATTCTGTGTACGAGACACTTTGCTAGGCACTAACCAGATTGTCTTATTTAATTCTAATGGTGAACATATTAAATAGACACTACTGCCCCATTTTCCAGAGGTGAGAACTAAGGCTTCAAAAAGTTACATACATTGTTCCAAACAGTATACCTAAGATTGAACCTCGTTCTCTCCAGATTCTAAAGCTTTCCCCTCCCTCTTGTTATTTGTTTGGTGATTTATTTATTTCCTTTTCCTTTATATCTCACTGCCACTATCCTCCTCCCTAACCATTTTTAGTGTTTAATACAGTTCTTTGTATGTATATGTCTTTTTAGAAAATGTGTTTTCATTTTCTGGGCATTTATTTTTAATTTACTTATATGTTATTACATTATATATCTCATTCTGTTTGATACTTTCTCATCAAACATTGTCTTTACATGTATTCCTGTTGCCACATGTACATCTAATCCCTTGTTTTTAATGTATTTCCGCTGCACTCAGCTGTCCCCTACACCAAGATGTTTGTATAAAACAATAACACCTGACATTTGCATGAGACCTTCCAGCTTTCAAAATGCTTTCACACGGACCTGTATCATATGACCTTGGTCCAGCTCTATCTTGGTTTATTGCCGTGGTCTCCTAACTAGACTTCCTGAGTTCACCCTTGATCTACTGCTGGCTAAACTCAGCAACTATCTGCATTGCAAGATCAAGTCAAAGTCCTTACAATGGCCTACAAGGCCCTCTTCAGGATTTGGCCTTCTGATAATTTTCTAAGAGAGGGAGGAAGGGAAGGAGAAAGGAAAGAAACAAGAAAGAGAGAGGGCACGAGAGGACAACAAACAGACTAACTCCAGAATAGCAGATTGAACACACCATCTAATTTCATTCCCTCCTGAAACACCATTAAAATGAGAGTAAAAGAATTATCCTAAAAAGATACTAACCTGTAAAAATTAAGAGAATGGAAGAGGGTGGAAGAGTAATAAAATGTTCGAGACTGGAAGGCAGATGGAAAAGTAGTAAATCACTTAACAGGTTAAAAAAAAAAAAAGGATCCTAGGCAGCAGTAGGGTGAGCTAGAAGCAGTCTATTTTACACTGTAGAGGCCTAAAGGCTCAGAAGGCACCAGGTACTCCTGGAAGTAGGAGAGAGGGCGATAAATTAAGAAGAGCTCATAGAAAGTCTGCTTATGAAGCAATCAGATACTCAGATTCCTTCCTCTTCTCCTCATGACCAGGTGTCTTCCTCTCCCTTACCTGTCAAAAGACAAGAGGTTTATTCCCTGGAGAAATAAAACACAAGATCTTTTACACCTGTAGAACAAAGTTGAGGGCAGTGGTGTGGTACTATCGACAGAAGGATTCAGTGAGCATATGAATATTGGATATTGAGACTCTCTTGCTCTTTTCCTATAATCCTTTCCCACTGTGCTGGTAGCCAGGCCTCACAATCCAGGCAGGAGAATGAACTGTCCTTCTGGAGAGAATGCGATATGTCCAGGAAGACACAACTCAGCTATTCTCCAAGGAAATCACCTAATCAGATCACACTACAATGAAGCTCACAGACAATGTGCCCCACTCATACTCAGGACTCCCAATCAAACCACCCTAATATGAACAGGACACCAAGATTACAAATCATCTGAGAAAACTTAGTAACATGAAAAACAGAGATAAGGCAAGAAGAAAATTTTAGAAATTTTAGAAAAATTAAGAGAGAGAAAGAGAGAGAGGGAGAGATCAATGAATAAAAGAATCAGATACTAGAAAAGGAAACATTAAGGAAAGAAAAGAAATGAGATCTTAGAAATTAGACACATAATAGCAGAAATGAAACAATTAATAGAAGGGTTAAAGACAAAGTTGAGACACACTCCATAAATTAAAAGATAAAGAAATGGGAAAAGCATTTGAATACTGAAACACTTGGATTGGTTTTTTTAACATTAGGAACAATATAAAAATATTAAAAGTACCAGAAAAGAGAGAGGGAAGGAAAGAAATACAGAGGGTGCCAAAAAAATGTATACACGTTTTGTTTTTTGTTTTAATTGGGGAACAGTGTGTTTTTCCAGGACCCATCAGCTCCAAGTAGTTGTTTCAATCTAGTTGTGGAGGGCACATATCAGTGGCCCATGTGGGGATCGAACCANAGACTGAAGAACAAAACGACAGCAACTTGTCTGTTCCCCTTCCCCCAATTCCCCAGCACTGTTCCCATCCCCCCAATTCCCCAATAAAAATCTTAAAATATATATATATTAGTAACCTTTTCCTTATGGGAGAACACCAGGCTCAGGCTGTTTTGGAACACGTGGTGCTGAAACACCCTACTCTCCCCTCTGTCTCCCATAGCTAGGGTGACCACACTCCCCAGTTTATGTCTATTGTTCTGGCTCATTAAGAGCTCCCCCTTTCACTCTCAGAAGTATCCCACTTTGTGGGGCCAGCCGAGTGGCTCAGTTGTTTAAGAGTTAGCTTAAGAGCGAGAGCTCTGAGCAACAGGGCTGCTAGTTCAATACCCACATGGGCCAGTGACACTGTGCCCAAGCTAAGTTGTCACTGAACTACCAACAGGTGGCAGAATAGCTCAGCTGGTTTAACAACAAGATTACCTGTTTGATAGTGGGCTACACCCACCTGCAACTAAGACTGAACTTGGCACCTTGAGCTGAGCTACTGCCCGGATGGCTCAGTGGATAGAGTGTGCGCTCTTAACAACAAGGCTGCCGGTTCGACTCCTGCCTAGGATGGTGGCTACGCCCACCCACAACTAAGATTGTAACACAGCACCTTGAGCTGAGCTGCTGCTCCATGGCTCAGTGGATAGAGCATGCACTCTTAACAAGGCTGCTGAGTCCGACTTCTGCATGGGATGGTGGCTATGCCCACCTGCAACTAAGATTGTATAACACATCACCTTGAACTTAGAGGCCACGAGCTGCCAACAGGAAGCCAGATGGCAACTAGCGCCCTCTACAATGAAGATTGAAGAACAACAACTTGGCTGGTCTCCCTTCCCAATTTCCCAACACTGTTCCCCTCCCCCAATTTCCCAATAAAATCTTAAAAAAAAAAAAAGTGTCCCAGTTTGCCTGAGAAATTATAAGAGCATCCACTTATTGTCAGTGTTTCCAGAAAACATATCCTGCTAAAAAGCACAGACAGCAGCAGCATCTTTCTGAATAAAGATTACCAAAATGTATTTTCAAGGGCATCCCTAGAGCTGCTGCAAAAACAAACAAACAAACAAACAGAGAGAGGGCATCAAGTTTCATTTTCATAGTTTCTGCTCCATCACCTCCAGGCTAGCTGAGTTTGGATTTTAGACCATGAAAACAGGAAGTAGAGGACATCTGTGATTATACTTCACTACTTAAAGATGCTCATCCAAGTGACCTGCGTTCTCTCAGACGAGCAGGTAATATTATCGGGTCCTCGGGAAAGTCATGACGCATTTTTGCATTGGAAAACATAGAAAACTATGTCATGACTTTTCCAACAACCCAATATCTCAGTGGTGATATGAGTCTTCTTATTAATGGTGTGTAAACTATATATACGATAGCTGAATGCAGCTTGTAAGATAAAATGTTTACAAGCACTGTGACTTAATAAATATTGACTCGTCCCAGTCGCTGTACATAAGGTGAACAGATGTCCTTTAGCCAAAGAAGAACAGCTTGCCCAGGGGGCTCACCATCATTATTGCCATTCCCCAAGTTAGAGTTCTGATTCTTGCCAGAAATCACCCAATGTTGACAGAAGAAACGCCTCTCCTTCTGGGGACAAGAATAAAACAATGGAGCAAAGAACGAGGAGAACAGAGGAAGGATTTGCCCACTTACTTCAAATTTGAATTCTTAGCACTTTTAATACAACCTGTCAATATAGCACGTTTAAAACACACTATCAATATTACCCATTTATATCACATTTCATGTTTCTAATAGAGTGGTAGGGATGCCAGAGGTAAAGTCCATATCATGGGGCTCTTACAAAATAGAGAAACAGACGTTTCCTGGAAGTGGTTTACATTTTGCTAAAGCATTTCCATCTTCATTCCCCTACTAGAATTAGAATTTAAACTCTATGGTGACAGGGGTTTTGTCAGTTCCATTCTGTATCCCCGTAGCCCAGAATAATTCCTGGCATATAGTAAGTGCAAAATAAAAGTTTATTGAATACATTGATAAATCCTAGTCAGCCTGATATTCTAAATGACCCAAATAATGATAACTTCCTTGACATATTTTAAAAATATTTTTCTTGTTCCTTAATAGTTTTAGTTTCTCAATTTAAAAATGAAAAGCTTTTCCTTCATCAAAAGCTCGGATTACCTTATATTTTGTCTCAATTTTCAAATAATAAAATTTTTTAAATCTCCCATTGAAAGTTTCTTTTTAAACTTATGCAATATATTTTTAATTGCTCTCTCTCTAGTGTATAACACCATATTTCTCTTCCTTATCATTATATAAACAAACTAAAAACACACATGTCATCATCTGTTTTCACTCAATGTCAAAAGTAACGTTTGTTAATATTACCATCAATAAGATCAGGAAAGTCTAAATATCAGGAAGTTCTCAAGCTCAAAGTGGTGGAAACTCATTTTCCAAAATTTTAATTTTCACTTGAAAGCTGAAATTTTATCATTAGCAACAAATTCTATCAGTTTTCTTAAAGTGGTATGTTCACTTTGTTTCCACAAAGACAAAAACCCAAGACTGAATAGTCACAGTTTGCCAGATGTTCTTTTGAGTAAAAATGGAATTTCATGGAAAAGTAGTTTTCTGCTCACAACCTAAACAA